ATTTACTCAAGATTATAGACTTGACAACGCTGAGACTTTTGCTTTAATTGCTACGATGACCATGATTTGCACACAGTCATAGCTGTGGTAGCTATTCGTGAGTGAAGCTTCTCTCAGATGGATGTGAAAAATGTTTTTCTTCATGGTGATTTATCTAAAAATGTCTATATGACTCCTCCTCTTGGGTTGTCTCATGGTCCTAGTCAAGTCAGCAAACTTCACAAGGTTTTATATGACCTTAAACAAGCCCTAAGGGCATGATTTGCTAAATTTTCTTCAGTCATATATAACTTAGGCTTCTATGTTAGTGACCATGATTCTACTCTCTTTCTATGATCCACGTCTTCAAGTTTCATTCTTTTATTATTTTATGTGGATGATATGATTATTACTAGTGATGACAATGCTGGAATTCAGTTGCTGGAAACTCAATTCCAGGACTATTTTGGGATGAAAGATTTGGGTCCATTTCGATATTTCTTAGAGATTGAAGTTGTCTTCTCTCCCAAGGGTTATTTTCTTTCTCAGTCAAAGTATGTCTAAGATGTTATTCTGCGAGCTTCCTTATCGAATAATCAAACAGTTGACACACCATTAAAGCTCAACGTTCGTTATATTTCCTCTAATAGTTTTCTTCTACCTGATCCTACCTTATATTGTACTATTGTTGGAAGTTTGGATCTTGTTATTACTCATCCAGATATCGTTTATGCTGTTCATGTGGTTAGTCAGTTTGTTGCTGATCCTACCACTCTTCACTAGTCTACCGTTCTACAGATTCTTTGGTATCTGCAAGATAAGTTGCATCAGAGTTTATTATTTCGTCCTCTTTATCTCTGGAACTCCAAGCTTACTCTGATACAGACTGAGCTAGTGACTCTATGGATCGCAAGTCTACCATTAATTTTTGTCTCTTTTTTGGTACAGAAGTAGTTTGGTTGCATTGGCTACTAGCTTATCTTGACATTTCCTTGTCTACTCCTACTCCTATGTATTGTGATAATACTAGTACTATCCAGATTGCTCACAACTCTGTGTTTCATGAGCACACCATGCATATTGAGATTGATTGTCATTTTGTACGCCATCATCTTTAGCTAGGCACGATCTCTCTCCCCTTCCTTCCTTCTACTATGTAGTTGACAGATTTTTTCACAAAATCTCTCACTATCATGCGCTTTTATTTTTCTTCTTGACAAACTCTTGATGTTTGATGCTACCACATCATGAGTTTGAGGTGTGCTGTAGGAATAATCTAGTATAATAGCAATAGGGATAGATTAGTCATCTATGTTACTATGTTTTGCCCTAATATATCACTTTTATTGTGTAGTTTTCTTGTTTAACGGTTCTGTAATACAAACTTAGTTCTTCTTAATGAATATTTTTTTCACTTCTTTCCTCTTTCTTTGATAAATATTAACAACAGTGACATCCTCACCATCCACTTTCAATCCCTCTGTCAATCCTATTTCTTCTGCTCTAATAATCATCTTGCTCAAGAGATCAACTACCAATATAAACATAAAGGTGATAAAGGATCTCCTTGCCTCAAATCCCTAAACGCATCGAACCATTCCCTAACCTCCCCATTCACCAGTACTGAAAAGGTCGAAGAAAAAAAACTACTTATCTATTTTCTTCACTTTTCTCCAAAAACCTTGTTTTTTAACATGGCATTCACAAAATTTCAATTTACCCGATAATATGGCTTTTCAAAATCCAACTTAAACACAACTCCTTTCTTTCTCTTTCTCATAATATCCTCCACCACCTCATTTGCCACTAAAATTGCATCTACTATTTGTCTTCCTTAAGCAAAAGCACTTTGGGCCATGGTCACTGTGTCTCCCAAAACTTCACAAAGCCTTGTAGACAACACTATAGCTATAATTTTATACAAACTAATGGAAAGTAAACTGAATAACAAATAGCGCAGACAATAGGGACATATTAGGACTCAAGTGAGTAGTCCCCAGACCTGAAACTTTAGAACAAGTATTATTACCAAGAGTAACACTACGTGTGAAAGTAGCAGGCTGATAAGTAGAAAAACATCAGACGCACCAATCATGTGGTCAGAAGCGCCAGAGTCTATGATCTAGGGACTGCGAGTGGAGGAGTAAACTAGTAGAAGCAATACCTAACTGGGCAAAAATAGTAGTGGAGGGAGATGGGATAGCCTGTTGATGGGACAGGAACTGAGCATACTCCTCTCGTGTAATAGTAACCGACCCAGTGTCTAGTGGAGCTGACCGAGGTATGGAAGTAACAACAGAGGTATTATCTTGCTAGGAAACCTGATTCGCAACACCAAAGGGTTTTTCATATAAATCCCAACATAAATCAATAATGTGTTGTTTACGGCCACAGTGAGTACAAGAACGAGATCTACTACGGCCTCCACGACCACCCGTGCAACCCTCCTGTACGACCTCCACAACCCTCCAAGTTGTTGGAGGACTGAACTGGAAGAAAGGAAGCAGCTGGAGTATTGAACCGGGCTAGAAAACTAGGCTAGACCATTGAACCGGACCCCCTGCTACTTGCTGGAGTACTGAACCGAGTTGGAAAACTGGGCTAGACCACTGAACCAGACCCCTGCTACTTGCTGGAATACTGAACCGGGTTGGAAAACCGGGCTGAACCACTAAACCGGACCAGCAAGGCTCTCTGGACCGTTGAACCGGATCGACTAGATTTGCTGGAAGACAGAACCCGGCTAGAAAATCTAGCTGGCCCGCTGAACCAGACCAGCTAGGCTCTCTGGACTACTGAACCAGCCTGAACCGTGATCCAGTCTAAGCTGAACCATGGACTGGACCGGGATTGGACTTAAAAAAAAAAATTGAAATCCTGGGCTTAACCCGATCTAATCCAAACCCAACTCCACTGGTTGGATCTCTTCTTCTTCGCTAATTAGGGTTCCAAGAGGACCCTCTGGTCTTTGACAACACCACACACCACACCGAAGACAACAGAACACCACACACACACCACCACACACCACACACCACAGCCACCACACACCACACCACTACCATGAAGAATGCTGCTCGAAGGTGAACAAAAGCCATACCACCACCACCACAAGCGATCACGCCACCACACCTAACACCACCACCACGAACAACCGCACCAATGTTAATATATTTAGGATCGTTTATACTCTGATACCATGTTAAGTTTAGAAGATTAACATAATATTAGAGACAATATTTAAAGAGAAACAGAGAGTGGTTAAAAACTTAACCTAACTCTCATACATCACTTGTATTTATAGTTAACTCACAATAATAAGAATTACACAGACACCCTCTTACTATTAACAATTTACACATACTTCCCTAATATTCTTAACAATTTATATGAAAACTAGGGACTAGTTGTGCAATCTAACACGCTACTCCCTATGTAATATTTTTCTTCCTTCGCTCTTTTCTTCTCTTCCAAACCTTTCACTCATCCTACGTTCCTTAAACTTCATAATCTAACTCATGGTTTTAGTGCATTTGAGGTGAGACAGATTTCCAAAGGGCACTAACCATAAGCTTTAGTCAAAAAAGTTTGGACATGCAAAGTGTTGAAGAAAATCAGTTCCACAGCATACATGTAATTAAACTTGCAAATTAGCCCTATCTTTATGACTTGTATGTGTTTGAAGGATTTGATTAAGATGCAGTTTCAACAGAAACTCGGTTAAACAACTTCCAAAGGTGTAGCCAGATGGTGTTGAAGATGTATTTGACGTCAAAGAGGTAAAATCAAGGGGAGGCTACCAACATACGCGATTCTTGGTGAAGTGGTTGGGCAAACTAGCTAGTGAAAGTACATGGATTATCGAGGAGGAATTGAAAAGGATAGCTCCAGAGATTTATAATGAAGTTGTTCATACTTTCTCTAGCGAGAAAGTTTCTTCCAACCCGAAGGGGTTGATGTAAGAGCATCCAGCAGGCTTATCAAGACCAAACAGCCCCACTAATAAGCTTAGCTTGAGTTTTCGTTAGCAAATGTTTTGGTTATATTTTTATTTTCTCCAGTATTTTAAGTTTTATGTGAGTCTTATAGATAGTATTTATGGTCCTTGTCTTTTAAAATAGTCTTGTGATGTCTTGTGACTTTTTAAGAATGTTGGAAGGCTAGGATTAAAGAATTATTGAAATGACTAAGGGGGATGTCAGAGTTGTTATAACCCTAGTATAAATACATCTTTATGAGTCTTTGTAGGTAGCTTTTCGTACTGCTATTCCAAAAAATCAAAATTTCATTCTTTCTTGTGTCTCTTTGCCCTAGAAATTCATATGTTGTTCCGTCTTTGATTCTATTGTTGTTTCTTCTTGTCTTATTCCTAGAAATTCATTAAAAGCTGATGATTCTTTGCTCTGAACAACTTATAGCAGATATGAGTATTTTGCTGCATCAACTTTGCAAGTTGCAACTGTTGCTTGCAAGAATCAAATTTTGTTTCAGTGCATTGTTTCGATCACCTAAAAAACGGAAACGATTCGAAATATTTCAAAAACGTTTCAAAATATTTCAACCTGTTTCGAAAACAGAATAAATAAAAAATAAAAAATTTAAGAATTCTTTTTTCAAAAACATTGGTTTAAATAAACCAAATGTCTTGAAATACCTTAAAATATTCTGAAATAATTGTACAAATGTAATGAAATATAACAAAATATTTTGAAACATTATGAAACACCTCGAAGTATTAGAATTTCGATTTCATCACTGATTCATTTCAGTCTCCTTGAAAACAGAAACGTTTCAAATATTTCGACCGTTTCGAAACGATATATTAATCCTTGGTTGCTTGGCAAGTGATAGAAGGTACTACTCAATCTAATAGTCGGTGACAAGTGACAAGATGTGGATTCCATTAATTTCATTGGGATTCTAAAAGGGGGAGTTACATAAACAAATAGTAAGGATGAATCATTGACCGGTGAAATGCATAAGAAACGAAGGTAAAATTGTTGTCCATCATGTAAAGCAAATTATACCTGTAGTTGGCGACCAAAATGATCTTCCAACATTGTGCATGCATTCTCTGTCTTCCCCATGTGTAACGGGAGAGAAAGAGACGCCCACACAGTAACATAAATAGAATCCACCGATGATTCTTCGATATCCACCCTCATAAGCCCACCAATATGAACTGAATGACCTACCTGCCAGCACCAAATGATAAAAAATTACACTTGAATTATATGAAGCGAAATTCGAGCTTGTATAGGATATCTCCCAAAGAAATCTAAAGATCTTAGTGAAAGTTTTATTGGGTGCAAAAGAGCAAACAATACGTTTTCTCAAGTCAATAAAATAAATTACAAAAATACATATAACCCAAGAAAATTAGAAAAATCCTAGACTACCCAAAAGACAAATATATCTTTATTATAAAAACTTATATAAACTCTCACACCGCCAACCACAAACTCCTGATGCAAGCCCGGAGACCATCGTGAGTTTGTCAAATAAGAATCAAAAACGAAATGAAATGTGAGACTTGGTAAAAAAATCCGCAAGCTATAGCGAAGAAGACACAAACGAGTAATAGTGGTCAAATGAAGATGTTAACGAATAAAATGATAATCAATTTCAATATGCTTTATGCACTCATGAAATACTAAACTATGAGTAATCTGGATAGTAATTTTAGTGTCACAATAAAAAGGAGTTGGAGAGGAGAGACCAACATCCATAATAGCTAAAAGCCAATGAAGCCAAACTCTCTCCGCACTGGTGTGTGCTATAGCACGATAATCAAGTTCAGCGGTAAAACAAGCAATAACTGATTGTTTCTTACTTTTCCACGAGATAAGAGAATCACCCAAAAAAACACAAAAACTAGTGGTAGACTTGCAATCAACAATATCCCTAGCCCAATCAACATCAGCATGTAAAGCAAAAGGTGGACGACAATAATAAGCTCTGAAATATGGTGCTGCATACATACCATAAAATTTTTAAGTTTTCACATCCAAACTTCACCAGAGTAGACAATTGCGCTAATAAGATTCCTGGTTCTTAGGACGTCCAATTTTTACACTAGTTCATAATGATAATCAACTTAGAATAAATAGTAGCAGTATAATGGTGTATTCTCATATGTGACAAAATGGCAAAAGAAACCATGTTTCTAATCAAAATCTAGAATAGCCATGAACACATAAATTACAACAAAATGCCATTCAACCCGCACATTGGAAAATGTAACCTCATCCCCCCGCACACGTTTCTTCCGGTAATAATCTTTGTTTCTTATAAAAAAAGGAAAAAGAAACTGTAACCCGTGGGCAGAAAAAGTCTTTGCATTATTTACTCCACCAGGCAAAGGCCATTTGGAAGACAAGATTTATGATTCCCACAACCACCAATCAAAAATTCAAAATCTAATTAAAAAGTGAACAGAATAGAGAAGAAAAGGCACTGCTCCAAAGCCTTACACGTGTTAAAGAAGCCAATAAAGATCTATCGATTCCTTCTCCGGCTCCTACCCCTACTTACACGTTAAAATGACTAAAAAAATATGATAATCCTCTTGCCAGTGAACAACCGTCAACAAATTATTTCCCTAATGTCTTTTATGCAGAAAATGGAGATAATACAACACCTTTGTTTGCAGGTGATCAACTATAGTTTCACTGTTAAGCAGAGCGAAAACCTGAGATGATTTTATTCTCTTTGACTGTTCCTGAATTTTTAGTAAGAGCTAGCTTTGTGTTAGGTGTTCTGAGTGGTTTTGGTCTATTGCAGGCACAAGAAGGTCATGCAGAGTACCTTCACAGTATAATATGACAAAGTAGGTGCAAGAGAAAAAGAAGAATTTTACTGTGGTGTATCATGCAATTTAATTTAGCAACCAAAGAATACAGCAACAAAGCACTAATTCATTTGGACTTTGAAGTTATTCTTCTGTTGAAATATATAAACAATTATGTTACCCTGTCAAATAGCTTAAGTTTTTAAAGTAATTGGTGTTTAACATCTACGAAGGAAAAAGCACATGTAACTCGGGTCAATGCTTTGGGGCCTAGGAATAGTGGTATAAAAATATGAAACTCTAAACAAACAAACAACAGCGGAAGTAAACAGTAATAGCACATCCACAACATTCTTCAGCAATGAACCAAGAAATGTATAATTCCCTTGCGGAAATTAACTTTTACCAAAACAGTTCATTTCCAAAAAAGTTCATGAAAATCGTTATAGTATAAGTATTAAAGCAATCATTAAATAGAATCACTAACCTTGATCCTATATGTCCTCGCTTTCAACTCATGGCCTATGTGAACTAATTTCTGCTCCTCTCTAACCAACCTAGTTGAAATCTGATGTGGATGCAAAAGCCCCGGTGTATCAAACAACTTTGCATTACCCGGAAGAACCCCCTCCACCCTCACAATTCCCAACGTTGTCCCAGGAACCGGTGCCTCAGTCAAATGAGTAACCTTCCCCCCAACAGACTTCCCTATTGCATTTATTAAAGTACTCTTCCCTGCATTCTGCACCCCAACCACCCATACATGCCCTCTCGGCCCTGCCAATCCCACCACATCATCAACCAAATTCTTCAGACCCCAATCTCTCACTGCACTCACCAAATGCACACTAGTCAATTTACTTGCCCCACCCTCCCTCGCCCTCGTTCTAACCCAATGTTCCAACCTAGTAGGTGACAATGAGCTTGGTAGTAAGTCAATCTTTGTTACAACCAACACTATTCTTGGGACATTACCCGATTTTCCCTCCTTCCACCCTCGCAAATTGTCATCAATTGTCTTAGAAACCAACCTGGCAACCACCCTTGGGAAAGACCCATCAAAGTCTGAAGCATCAACAACCATCAAAACCACCGTCCTCGCCCGGGTTATTGAATTCAACCTCCTTCCAACTGTATAATCAAAATCAAATGCCGGCAACAAATTCTCCACTGTTGGATCTTTTACCTTCCCATGATGTCGGAGTGAATAGCATCTAGCACAAACAATAAGTTTTTCAGACAACCTTGGATTTGGGTTTTCAAGATTGTCACCGTTTTCTGGCTCAATGAGCTCATTAAGTAAGCCTTTCTTAAACGAATCTGAGATTTCAGATTCATCCAAAACTGGGTTTTTGTTAATGGTGGATTTGTAATTCGGGTTTTTGGGTGAGGGTTTGATGAAGAAGCCAGGTTGTTTGGGGTCAGAATCTTGCATAGGTACACCACAGCCAGGGCAAATGAGGAGGATAGTTTCATCGTAATTTCCATCTCTTGTTATCTGTGAAGGTAAAGACGAGGTTTTGGGTGGTTGTGAAGAGAAAGGTCTGAAAATGAATGGCGATGGTGGTGGAAGGGCTTTGGTAGCGTTTTGGAAATAGGGTTTTGCCGTTTGGACGTCAGAGATTGAAGGGAGAGAGTTAGATACAAGTTTTGTGTATGTATAGGTGGGGGGAGAAAGTTGGAGGATTTTTTTGAGCTTTGATAGTGAGAGGCTTCGGATGATCATTTCTGTTCTTCTTTATCTCTACGCCTAGTGAAGCTTATGGTGCCAATATTTCGAATTTGTGGAGGTCTTTGGCACTCTGGTTCAGTGCAGTTGTCTTCACAGCGAACTCTGTGCCGTGTGCAGTAGACAAATTGACCTTATTATCCTCACTTAGCCAAAGTGCCTGCCTTTTTCGGGTAATAGATTTAGATGTTGTAAAATTTTATATTCGTTCAATTTCGATTTAATGGTATATTATACCTAATATTAAACTATAATCTCATCATTTTCTTTATTTGTTTGTCACAAATATAATATATGTAATACCTACTTAAAAAAATCAACAATTACAACTACTAATGTAAAAAGACAATTTTAATCTTATAATCCAATGCAATCCATGCCCTTATTTGTTTGTACAACCACCTGTGCATGAATAAAACCAAAAGAATGTTTAATTTTTTTTTCCACGTCCTGTGCATGCCATGTTGAACCTGTCTCCAGGTAACACACACATACACACACAAACACAAACACACAGACGAACATAGCCTTAAAAAAAAAATATTCCAACAACATTTTTTTTATGTTCCACGTGATCTGAATGCCCTGTTGAACCTGTCTCCCAGGTAAGTCACTCACTCACACACACACAACACACAGACGAACATATGATAGAACAAAAAAAAAACTCTTTCAAAAAATTGCTCATTGTCCTCCAGGTAACACACACAGACGGACATAGCCCAAAAAAAAAAAATTTCAGCAACATTTTTTTTATGTTCCACATGATCTGAATGCTCTATTGAACTTGTCTCCCAGGTAATTCACAAACACACGACACACACAGACGAACATATCATAGAACAAAAAAAAAAAAAAAAGCTTCAAACAATTGTTCACTGTCCAGTACAATTCCAGCAACAATGGAATTTCAGCAAAATTTTCCAACAGTCCTGATTTACCTGCCAACAGTACATTGTAATTCCATTTACAAAAAACAAACTCAGTGCACAACACAACAATATATATACTGCCACTAAAATATATACTGTCATTCCATTTGCAAGTAGCTAAGAGCTGTTTTCCTGTGCCTTAACAGCTGGCTCCACAAAAAAAAGGTTATAACATCCACCATAAAGTTTTTTACTTGCATAATATAAACAACATTCTCAAAATATGAAACTCCCTATGACTCTTGAACAGTAACTATGACCACATGCATTCATACCCAAAAAACAAAATGGCATCTGGAAAGCATAATTTACGTACAATCATAATCGGACATGGGAGCAAAGTTAATCAGAAAGTTCGATAATATCTATGTCCTGTGCTGGATCACCACTCGAACAGGAGCCCACGCTCTTCCGGGGACACGACGTCGAAAACCTCCATCTTTTTTTCAAACAAAGGACATGGGTCAATGCAATGTGTTCTTGCAAACTTGTTTGCCTGCAAGTTAATCACTCTTAGACATAAAATGAATTCAAGCAAATATGAAAACAAATTAAACAAAGAGTTCATAAGATGATATTCATTAATATAGTTTTGAATTAAACACTTACCTCATCAATGACACACGAGTCAGTCGAGTTCCACGCAAACATCCTTGTCTTCAACATAGCTTTTATACTGAAGTATTGCTTCTTCCAGAAAAATATAATCTTGACAAGATCAACTTGATCAATGCAACTTGCAGGCAGTCTCCTTTTCAGTCACTGAAACAATTCCCTGAAGTGTTGAGTTGTCATGCTGCCTCGTTCAGGCACTATTCCCCATTTTTTGTTTCAAATAAACAATGTCATCAACACTTCACTTTCCACATCACTAATTTGAGGAACCGACATTTTGCTACATAATATTGTGCAAACCAAGGGCACATGCCATTGACACAACACCAATTTATAAAAATTCATTAAACAATACAATCACATCATAACATAAAAATCCACTACAATAGAAATCCATTCATAATGTTACCCATATTCATACATTCCCTAATTAATGTCAAAACATAGGAGGTAACATTACAAAACACTAACCATAAATATTGTCCAAAAGGTGTCAAACAATATACAAACATTAGTTCAAGAAAGTCTACCCAGGAAAAAGTAAAGAACATGGGTTATTACCATACCCAAAACAAACATCACAATATACATGAGATAGTTACCGACATTACAGTCTCCCTCGACCTGGTCATCACACCCAACAACTTTCGGGGTTGTTAGAGGAATGTCCATTGCATCTTCTCCACGAAGATTATGCGGTGGTTGATTTTCATGGACAGTCACTTCACATTCACGTTGGACATCTCTTACTAGATCTTCATTGTCAATATATGTGCGCAATGCATTTTCAGCCCCGTCGTACGAATCATAAGATTTGTACAACGCGCTCGAGTATCTATTCACTTGCACATGACATTCTTGCCATGTCATATAGATACCAACTTGTCTTCCAACAAACACGACGTACACTTGTCTAACTAAACACAGGTTAGTACATTTCTAAACAAGTGCATACCAATATAAAAAACAAGTGGTAATAAACATCATATCTTCAGTATACAAGTACGACTACGTTGTTCAAACTTCATAATAAACATCAACCAAAACGTACTTAAAACATTTTTTACATACCAACATAGGTGAACAAGCAAAAAAAGTGGCTAATTTACCAAGTCACTCTATAAGGTCTTTATGACTAAGTTCACCTATTTCAAGCTCCACCAAAAAAAAAGAAGTACCATACTTAAACCTACAAATGTTGGTAGTTCGATCCGTACAATAACTTCCTTTCCCAAGTAGACTTTGAAGTGTCAGACAAGCTAAAGAACAAGTCAACCTTAACCGGATCAGAGGCAATTCTATAACCAGCCTCAAATAGTAGATCCTCATCAAGCCACCCAATTTTCTCAAGCTCAAAAAAGATTTTTCTCCTTGACTTAGAAACATCTTGGGCATGGCCTACTCACTGTGCAATATTATCAAGCTTACGACCATAAGTCGTAACATAATCACCTAACAACCTTGTCATATCACCCAAGCTACTTGCAATGACTTCGGCAGTTGTCGAAGCCTTTCTCGTCTTAATTTTTTAGGTGGTGGGGGTGTCTATGGAAACATTCATGCCTTGAGTAGTTCTATGACTTCCGGCATTTGTCTCATTTTCATAGTTGAAGTTTGTCGGGTCAACTTCATGGTCTGCAATCTCATTGTCATTCCCTCCAATCATTTCATCAACATCCTTAGCAAATTCTCCTGTTGCGCGATCCTTGACAAAAATAATTCCCCAATCTTTGTAGTATGGGCAACATTTTTCACGCATCCCCTTAGCCTGCTTATCTTTCTACAACAATTATACCACGAAAGAACATGCCTCGAATAAGTGGAGTAATAAATATAACAAAACACCTATAATAATTACAAAGTGATATATCATACCAAATTACCTTTAAATACTCCTCCCAAGCATCATCCGAATCAACTTCGATTTTGTTATTGCTGTCATTAAACCCAAAAACCACTCGTATTCATCATAGATAGTATACAATTGTACTGCCTCTTCCACATTTTTATCTTTGATTCAATGTGGGGTTTGTGCACGAAGCGTACTGCTGCCAATTCTTTGTTCTAGCATCTGCAAATAATCGGGCCTGAATGTACCATTAGGACACTTTAGCCCTGCTGCACATAGATCCTTCAGTGTGTCTAATAGTTGTGTCTCTTCCACACTTGTCCATATTCGTCTGGTACTGTTTTCAACTTGAATACCACTCATACCATGAGAGCTACCAACACTAACCATATTCTATGCATATATATAGAATATATACACACATCTATTTATCAGTCTAAAGCCAATATGCAATATAAAATCAAGTACAATACGACAAATGTAGAATATAGTGCATAATAACTCCACCAAAATAAATTGTTTTACATCCATTAATCAAAGTAGACAACGTAGCAACACCAAATATGAAAACATAATAGCCATTGAGTTTACTAAGTAAAGGTCAAAAAAATAACCACTTCGCCCCCCTATATCAAAAAAATCAGTTACCCATTTGCCATTCCACGTACATTTCATTCGCCAACTGAGTCCTCCAAGCAATCCATGCAATAGACGTCTCAACACTGTCAACTACATTGGTGTTTGTATTGCCATCGGTATCATTAAGAACATACTTAGGTATGTGGTCTTCCAATGGATCAACTGGCATCTCATTTCTAATGAAATTATGTAAAAGACAACAAGCAACAATAATTCTGTTATGTGTGGGGACTGGGTAGAAACACATAGTTCGAAGGATTGCCCATCGCATCTTGAGGAGGGCAAAACACCTCTCAATAACATTCCAGATAGATGAATGTTTAAGGTTAAAATATTCCTCGGCATTACGAGGAGCTTCCCTTCCACTTCTAAATTTGTCAAGATGGTATCGTTGACCCCTAAAAGGAGCTAAGAAACCATCACCATTGTGTACCCAACATCACATAAAAAATATGTGCTTGTTATAATTGTGTATACACCAGTTAGTAAACAATTCCAAAAAAAAACTAATGGTACAAATTTCCACTATAGCTTACCCCGTTGAACATGTAACCCAGTATGCCTTGTAACTGCGTCGCGAAGGACTCGTGAATCTATCGCTGATCCCTCTCAGCCAGGCAAAACATAAATGATTCTCATGTCAGACGCACATACACCTAACACATTTGTTGCAATTTGACTCTTCCTTGCCCTATATCTTGCATGGTGCACAAGTGGCACTTTTGCTCTAATGTGAATCCCATCTAAAGCCCCAACATAGTTCTAGGCAATAGGAAATAAAAATATTATCAATTGATATTTCACTATCTACATACTACGTGACGTGACAACTCAAAATATGGATATACTTTTAAAAAATTCAGAATACCTTAAAAAACTTCCACTTAGGGTCAATGCATTCTTCTGTAATTGGAATAGGGACTGCAAGCAGTAATCGGCGTAGCCTAAGAACTGCCAACAACACTACATTGAAATACTTGTCAACCATCTCATCGGATCTAATGAAACTGAATTGTACTGGTCTATTCTTATTATCATGACCAATAACGCTCAAGAACATAACTACCATATCCTCAATGCTAACATTCCTGGTACAACTCAGCCCACCAACCTGTTTAACTAGTGTACACAAGATAGAAAAACATCGTTGGTCCATCCTAAGTTGATTGTAGCATGTGATATCACTTTCACCTATTAGTCTAGTGAGATTCTCTATTTGCAGTCGGGTTCGCGTGACTGAGCTTGGGATAATATTGCTGTTTTGATTTTCTAGAAATTCCTGCAAATTTACAATCACAACAATCAGACATGAGTATATCATAACCATATTAGAGAGGACACTATCCAAAGTAACCACCAATAGCACATTGACATCATTGTCTTAATCCATAACAACTGCCACTCACACAAATTACAGTAATCATACATATCATCACAACAAAGAATATATTGATTTTTTTTGTTAAAATATAAAAAAAAATCATACAAACATTCTGGACATTAAAACATAAAATATGGATAGGGCCAACATTCCACACCAAATATGAAAAAAAACTCAAACAAAAGACCTGAATATGTGTAATTCTATAAAACAAGAAAAAAATATTTTGGCCTTATATTTCACAAACCAAAAAACAAATCAGTGCTTATATTTTTGAGTTTTGTGGTCATCTATATGCAAAAAACAAAAAAAACAAAAATCAGGGACCATTCCCCCTTTAGAATAAGTACAGAAATTGCTGTAGAAATCACAGCTGCATTTATGTGACAGATCTTCTCAGATCTTGACGAACGTACCTGTTTGTCATTTGCAGAAAAAGGGGGTTCAGTAGTGTGAAGATCTGCTTAGGGAGATACCAACGTCAAGATCTGCCAAGGGAGGCGAACAATGGTTCAAAGTCTTGAGGGATCCGACTGACTGTTCAGCGTCTTTAGGGAGGTAAACAATGGTTCATCGTCTTCAGGGAGCCGACTGACTGTTCAGCGTCTTTAGGGAGGTGAACGATGGTTCATCGTCTTCAGGGAGCCGACTGACTGTTCATCGTCTTCAAGGAGGCGACTGATTGTTTAGTGTCTTTAGGGAAGTGAATGATGGTTTGTTGGGGGAGGCGACTGATCGAGTGGCTAGGGTTTGTTAGGAGAAAGTCGGCTTTTATATGGGCCATTTTCCATGAGGGCATTTTGGTCTGTTTAGCATATTATACCTTATACCGAAATATTATACCACCGGGTAGCTGGTATTGAATAGCACCGTGTAGAAGGCATTAGTGTTACTGTTCATACTGGGTCAGTACTATGACCCGAAAATTAGTACCTAGTAAAAAATGGCAAACAAACAAGGTATAAGGTAAGCCCCACATACTATTTTTCCTTATACCACCCATATCCCTCAAACAAACACCCCCAAAGGGTCTCCCAACCTTTTGTGAACATTAGGTCACCATAATTGTCACCTTCTACAAGTTCGAGCCAAAGTGAGATCTGAGATACTAGAGAGAGATGGAGATGAAGAATTTGCCAATCGAAGTTCTGATCCAAACAAATATATGTTGATACAAACTTTTTGAAGCTATTTATTTTAGAATTGAACAAGCGAAGATACAAATCGTAGAAGGTAAGATCTTTGTTTCAAATGGAATGGAATTGCATGTGATGATTAGGCCATGCACTGAAATAAAATATGTATGCTAACATGGTTTGTTTGTCAGTTCTTTTTTTTCGTGTGTGAGAAGCCTGTATCTCTTATATGAAATGATACAAATTGGGGAAAAAATATATTTGTTCAGTGGAATGCATTGGTTGGAGATTTTGAGTACATAGTTATCTTTTTTTGTGTTTTTAATTCATACATGTGACCCTATTTGTCCACTTGTGGATTGTGTTTGATTTGAATAATTTTCTATGTGGTTTTATGGTCCTCTTGTTAGTTTGACTATAAGGTTTGCTATATAATTTAGAATATATTTTTAGTGTCCCCTTGTTAGCTTGACAGTGTTTGTTAGTGGAACATTGTTTAGAATTTTTCTCTTATTTATTTATTTTCTGATCTTTCTCTTATTTAATTAAAATACAACATGGAGGATGATTTGTTCACATTGGAATTTCATCATGGGGGTTATTTTGTATGGTAACTCACAATTACATATGAAAATGGGCAAGTTGCATTTTTTCCAATTGTAACCCTGACAAGAAGTCTTTTTTTGAGTAAAAAGGTATATATGAAGATGTTGAGTTTAGGCTGCCTATGTCTATGCTTGTGTGGTACAAGTTACCTGGATTCAGCCTTGATAATGGGCTTATAATCATTAATTCAAATAAAATGGTGATTGATATGCTTAAGGCTTACAAAGGCAAAAATATAGTTGTAGTGTATGGTGAGAAGGGCGAAGACCCAATACCTTGTACAAAAGAATCTTCTAGTGATGAGGAACCAAGTTGGATGAGGGAAGGGTTGGAAACACCTTATGAAGATGTATTTAGTAATGATGGGAATGACAACGGTGTTGTTTGGCTTTGAAACTGTGGCTAATGAGGCTGTGGTGGTAATATTAATACTAGTGAAAATATGGGAGATGAGGTTGAAATTGGGCTTGAAATTGGGGCTGATGTGGTTGAAACTATGGTTGATGTGACTAAAACTGTGGCTAATGGGATTAATGTAGTGGCTAAGAGGGCTAGACATGTGGGTTATAAGATTGGGACATATAGGTGATAGGACTGGAATTGAAACAAGTTGATATTTTCTGAAAATGAAGATGAACGAGATATACTCGGTAAGAGGGTTTACTCAGATGACAGTGATAATGATGGTTATCTAGAGTTTGATGAAAATAGAGACATGGTAAATCCTAAGTTAACAGTTAGGATGAAATTTTCACCCCCACAGATATTTAGGGAAGCATTAAAGGAATGGATCAAATAAGTGGGTTATGACTTGAAATGGGTAAAAAGTGAAAACAAAAGGATCCCTGTCATTTTGTAGGTATGGTTGTTGATGATACCCGGAAGAAAACTCCAAGTATGGGCTCAGGTAAGGAGGTCAGGCAGGGAGGTCAGACCAGGAGGTCAGGCAGAATGGCTAGAGCTCAAAATTTGAATTCTCGAGTCCCCCACAGAGCTATCAGGAGGAAAATCAAGAGAGAGATAGCTGGCGCCCCATAGAAAATAGAAGGCTATAATCAAGGCATAGACTCTCAACTAACCAAGATTCTCTACAAAAATCAAGGGAGATCCCCTAAACAAAGGGCAAGGATTTCATTATAGATTCCTGAGAAATAGAAACAAGGTTACAAATATTGTACAATGCCTCCACCAGAGGGACAAGAAAAAAAAAACCTTAGAGCTATTGAAAATTCTCTGTAATCTGAATCAAGCATTAATAAAGAGCCAAAGAGGAAGAGACTTCATTAGAGAATGGATTAAGCTTCCGAGCTAGTGAACCACTATACCTCTATTGTGCAAGACACCTATTCCCTACCCAATCTCCCTTCGGTTCATAGGAGCTCAATAGCTCAAAACTGAATTTGTTTAGATAACCACACATACTACTCATTTGCTTGAATAAACACCGTCAGTTTGGCGCTGTCTGTGGAAATGATTGTTCTCGTTACAAGTACACTAATCCTTTAGTAACTGATAGTCTCAACTTGCAACATGAGCAGTAGCCAAATGAATCCCCCACGAGTGCAGAACCAGTAGGAGGTTCCTAGCGGCAGACAACACGAAGATCCTCAAGATTTTTTTCCCGCCATCGAGGTTAATCTTCCTATGGTGAATCATCCCACAAACAACGAGTTAGAGGCCCTTCGTTTAGTCAACCAGCGTCTGCTGCAGTAGAATGAAGATTTCTTGAAACTTTTACAATGGCCACAGGAGATACGACTAGCCCTAGGAGACCAGAATGATCCCCCTCACAGGGAGCAGCAACACCACAACCCCTTTAGGGAAGCTAATGAAGGAGGAGAAAATAGCCAGGCTCCTCAACCTCCTCTGAGGAATGGAGACAATGAAGAGGTGCAGAGCCAAAGTAATGAGAATGAGAGGAATAATTTTCACCTGGTCTAGCAGGAATGAAGAGACCAATACTGGGAGCAACGCTTCAGAGATATTCAATAGGAGCTCAGCCACATAAAGGAGGTCGTGAGGAGTAAAACTCTAATAACCATGGATGCCTTGGTGCAACAAACCAAGTCACCATTTACTCCTAGGGTGTTACATTTTCCCCTCCCATCGAAATTTAGAATATCGCAGGTAGAAGCTTTTAACGGAACCAAGGATCCCATGGACCACCTCAACACATATAAAAATCAGATGGAGTTGCACGGATACCAAGATCCAGTGCGCTGTCTTGCCTTCGCCATCAACTTGAAGGGGTCAGCCTTGGCATGGTTCAATAGGCTCCCTCCAACCTCAATTTCCTCCTTTAAGGAGCTCTCTATTTCTCTCGTGTCTCATTTCATAGGAGCTCGAACATATAGAAAATTGAGTTACCACTTGCTGAATGTGAAATAGGGACCTCAAGAAAACCTAAGGTCTTATGTCCAAAGGTTCAACTCGGAATCCCTAAAGGTAGACGTCCTAGACGAAAAATTTGTCATTACTGCCTTCATAGCTGGTTTAGGAGTACAGTCAAAGGATTTGATGTTCTCCATATCCAAGAATCTTCAAGCAAGCATGCCCGAGGTGCTGGCTATGACAAAGAAGTATATAAATGGCGAAGAAGCTCTCCTCTTAAAGGTAGGGAGCTCATCATTGCAGAAAGGAAAAGAGAAGGATGAGAAGAAAAGGGATCGAAGTCCTAGGAAAGAAAAAGAAAGAAACAGGTCTTCGAGAAGAGATAGGTCTCCCAGAAGAGATAGGGAACGTTCCCTAAATAGGAGGGGAAATGTTAGGGATCGCTTAGGTCCCCCACAGCCTGAATTGAAGCCTAGATATGCACCTCAGCAATATACTCCACTCACTGCTACAGTGTCCCCAGATCTTGTATGAGGTGCAGAATGAGAAGTTCTTAAGATGGCCACATCGAATGAGGGCAGATCCAGCAAAGAAATATCCCACGAAATACTATGAGTACCACAGAGACCATGGTCACCACATTGATGACTGCATCCCACTGAAGAAGGAGATTGAGTTCTTGATCCAAAAGGGGCAACTACATCACTTTATTGCCCATGACAATCAAAACCGAGCTCCATCCACCCCAACACCTCAACAAGCCCCTGTACAACATCAACAACCCCTAGGGGAAATCAAAGTGATATCTGGAGGATTTGTAGGAGGAGGGGAGTCCAATTCAGCCAAGAAAGCCCACTTGTGCAGAATCAGAGCTGATGAAACATTGGAAGTGCATACTGTGTCCAAGACACCGCGTTTGGACATGCCTATCACTTTCTCAGACTCAGATCTGGAAGGTTGCCGACATCCCCACGATGATCCTTTGGTGGTAAGGGCCGTTGTCGCCAACCGAACTATTCACTGAGTTCTGATTGACAATGACAGCTCGGTTGACATCATTTTTGTGTTAGCATTCGAAAAAATGGACATAGGAAAAGAAAAGCCCGAGCCAGTAAGTGCTCACTTGTTAGGGTTTTCAGGGGAGAGGGTGCTGTCTCGTGCATTAATTCAACTCATGCTCACCCTAGGTGACCCCCCGTGCTAGGTTGCTACAGCGATAAGGTTCCTAGTGGTTGATGCACCTTTAGCATACAACATGTTGCTTGGAAGGCCCTCCCTCAACTCTATGAGGGCTATCCCTTCTGCCTACCACCTTGTAATGAAGTTTCCTACGAAAAATAGAGTTGGAGTGGTCCGTGGAGATCGTGTAGTACGAGAATGCTACATTGCGTCTGTAAGAAAGAGGGAAGTTGAAAATATCCAGTTAGATGAGCTCGCCATAAGAGACGAGCTAGATACCAGACTTGCGCCATCCGAAGAGCTGGAGCCAGTTCAACTTGACGAGGAGCTAGAGCGCTTAGTTTACGTAGGATCGAAACTGGGCATAGAAATCAAGGAGCTCTTGATTTAGTTCCTAAAGAGAAACATAGAGATTTTTGCCTACAAGCAAGAAGATATGACAAGAATCAACCCTTCAGTCATCTCACACAAGCTCAGTGTGAACCCCACCAGTAAACCCATCAAACAGAAGAGAAGAAGTTTCACCCCAGAACGACAAAAGGTCATTAATGAGGAGATTAGCAAGCTTCTCCATGCCAAAGCCATCAGAGAAGTAGATTATCCTACTTGGTTAGCTAACGTGGTCCTTGTTAAGAAGACCAATAGAAAATGACGTCTCTACATCGACTTTACTGACCTTAATCGTACCTACCCTAAAGATAGCTTCCATTTACCTCATATAGACTTGATTGTGGATGCCACCGTAGGGCACGAGCTCCTGAGCTTCATGGACGTTTTCTCTAGTTACAATCAAATCAGAATGAATCCCAGTGACTAGGAGAAAACCTCCATTGTGACGGAGCAAGGGACATACTGTTATCAGGTTATGCCTTTTGGACTGAAGAATGCAAGAGCCACTTATCAGCGCTTGGTAAATCAGATGTTTCAAAAGCAGATTGGGTCGACAATGAAGGTATACATCGATGATATGTTGGTAAAATCATTAAAGGTAGAACTCTATGTTGAGCACCTAGCAGAGTCATTTCAGGTCCTTAAGGAATACAAAATGATGCTTAACCCTGCCAAATGTGCCTTTAGAGTATCTGCGGGAAAGTTCCTAGGTTTCATAGTCAACAACAGGGGGATTGAAGCTAATCCAGGGAAAGTTAAAGTAGTAATGGATATGAAGCCGCCATCCTACACCACGAAAATTCAATATCTAATAGGAAGAATAACAGCCCTAAGTCGTTTTGTATCTAGATCAAGCGACAAATGCCAACCATTCTTTTAAGTCTTAAAGAAGGAATTTCAATGGGATACCCGATGTGAGGAAGCGTTCAGAGCCTTGAAGGACTATTTGAGCTCTCCCCCTGTTCTGGTTAGCCCCTTGGAAGGGGAAGTGCTTACTCTCTACTTAGTTGTCTCAGACTTCTCAACCAACGCAACACTAGTAAGGGAGCAAGACAGAGCTCAGCAACCAGTTTACTACTGTAGCAGAGCTCTGAGAGGGGTAGAGGAGAGATACTCAAAGATGGAAATGCTTGTCTTAGCTTTAATCACAACTGCTAGAAGACTCAAACCATACTTCCAAGCTCATACTATCGAGGTTCCAACGGATCAGCCAATGAAGCAAGTGTTGCACAAGCTAGAGTCTTCAGGAAGGTTGGTTAAGTGGGCTATCGAGCTCAGTGAGTTCGATATCAAGTATAAACTAAGAATAGATATCAAGGGGCAGGTCCTAGCAGATTTTATCACAGAGTTTATGACAGAACAACCCATGGAAGCAGTATAACTGGTACCTGATCTCCCTACATGGAGGCTTTCAATAGACAGAGCTGCCAACACTCAGGGTAGCGGTACTGGCCTAATTCTGACCTGCCCCGATGAG